ATGGAACAAATTGAAGACCATTATGTTCCCATAGAAGAATTTATAGCTGAACAAGAGAAAGTTGAGGTATTACTTGACTACTGCTAAAACCTGTGTGCTGATAAGCTAACTTCCCAGAATTGCTCAGGAATTGTACACTAACACTGAGCATTCAAAGTAGCTGTAGTGGTTCAGCCTTGCTAATTCTTACCGTAGGGACAGATATTTTTGTCTAATAATACCTGTAGTGCATATCTAAAATTCCCAATCTTTGAGGGCAAAGATTCAATTAAATCCAAGTTGTATTTATCTCTGTAATGCAATGATTACAACACCTTCAGGGCTATTGTACCCAATAGTCTGGCATGTGAAAATTCTTGGAATTGGAGGGTGTAGAGTAAAAAGCTGGTCTGAAAGGGCTGGTGGGCAATTTAGCACAGGATAGCTATTTTATTTATAATGGTCTCTAGTCAAAGTTCTAGAAGGAGTTTACATGATAAGAAACAGTAATGAGAAATAAATTTTATGCAGGAGAGCACTTAACATGAATGTACTCACACCTAGGACTATCTAGTGGCTGATGTCAGTAATGCTATTCCTTTGCACAGCACAAAGAGTGTGCAGATCCTCAGAACTGAGCGAGTATCCTGTGTAAATAACTTCCTCCTGTAATCAGAGTGACATTCCTTAAAGTGATTTCTCAGCCACAATCATCACAACTTCCACCCAAAATGATTTTTGTACACTGCATATGCATATGTAGTATAATTAGAGGACAGGGTGTAGTGCATGGGGTTGAGTCGAAATTTAGACAAATTCTGCCATGTCCTCTTCTTTTTTTCAGGATAGAGAGAGTAAAATATTGCAGTTAGAAAGGCAACTTCATGAACAGTCAGGAAGGCTGTTGACTCTGGGAAGTCCAAGTTCAGATATACTGACTACTGAAAATGGTATGGAACCAGGTGGGAATCTAACCTGGCTATTTGTAATTCAAATTACTTTTTGTTTTCTGTATGAAAATCAAACTGCTTTTGTCTGCAGATCTTACAGACAAGATGATGAAGAGAGCCAATGAAGGACTGCAGAAACAATGCATGGAGAAAGATGAGGTAGCTCTTGCTTACTATTTAGCAAATCTGGGAGTAGCTGTCCTAAACTCTGGCATGGTTTCAGTACTTAAAGAACTGCGCTGTAAGAGGGAAAAAAAAAGCATGAAAATTCCTGCAAGTGGGTGTCAAGTTTACAAAAGAACCCATTATTTGATTGTGGATGATTCATGCCAGAGACTGGCTGTGTTCTGACTTCAGTTTGTTAGAGGTATCTACTACTATGCTAAGTCATGTGGCAATCAATGCAAGGTTGGAGGAGGGGAAGATGGGGACTAATGTTGGAATGCATTGTAAAAATTGCCATGGCCTCAGTGCTCTCATTTTGGAAATGCTGCCTTCTCTCACACAGGGGAGCAGCTGAAGAATCTGGTGGCAGTTTAGATCTAGAGCCAAAATACTACTTTAAACCAGTATGGAATTCTACCATCCACTTAAATTTAGGTAATGAGTGAGGTCTCTCTTGAAACAAACAAGATCCTTCCAGTTCTGAATAGCATGTAGACACTGAAGTTGTGGGCTTCAGTCTGTGTTATGGAAAACAATATTGTTTTTAGAAAGATATTTCTGGTCTACACATCACACAACCTTTTTGCAAGGCTATAGCTAGTTTCCAATGTTTAAAGAAGATGGAGGGGAGGGAAACAGTGAGGCTTGCTCCTTTCACTAGTAACAAATAAGAGTAGGATTTAGAGAAACAGTTCCAGCTGGTTCTAATATACCATGTAAATGGTAAGGGAACTTAAATCCATTCCTATTGAAAAAGTATAGTCCAAAAATAACTTTTCCTTACCAAATTTAATGTCTCGTTTTATGGCCCCGGCATTTATTTTCCACTCCTGGTCTTGATAGCTCTACAACATTTTCCATTTCCTATGTTAGTTTCAAATTTTGATGCCAGAAAGCAAATCTGGCTTCAGTGCTTGATAAGAGCATTCAGTATTGATTCTTTTCAGTTGCCATGATGCCTGGCAATAACTGGAATGAACATAGATTAAAGCAGCTACTTTGATTAGTGCCCTTCCACTGCTTTGCCTCACAGTATCTGTGCACATGTGAGTGATTGACTACTTTTCTTCCCTCCCACTCACCTTGGTCTGTGTTTAACAGATTTTATTTAGCATTCTAGAAGTTTTTCCTACAACTGTGTTGATGTAAATCCATGTAATATTTCTGGTTTGGAGTGTTTTTTCCCCTATGAAGACAATCTGTCAATATTAAAATCCATCTTTCCATCAGAAAGTGAGGTTTTCTGTTGTAACTGCGCTCCAGAATATGAGATGAAAGAGAATTCTTCTAACTACTCTTATGGAAAAGGAGCAGGTTGTTCTAGAAGTCTGTGCTGATCTTCTTTGGTTGCCAGGTCTGTTCAATCCATTAGCTTTAGCACAATGGCCCTTGAACACTCTGGCTATATGGCTTGCTAGAAATTGTGGGTTTGGACATTAGGATTTGGAAAAAGCAGTCTTCATCTTGGTTACTTTAATCTTAGTTTGCACTATTCAGTAGTAATCAGAAAGGCTTTCAGTGTATGTACCAGTTCTAGTCATGAACTAAGCTCGCATGAAATATGATGTCTTAAAACTTGAGTGTGTATGGGTTCTATTTTCAGCTTATAAAATCTTTGAAGCTTAAAATACAGAAATTAAATGAAACACTGCTGGAAGCTAATGAAGGCTACAGAAAAATGGCAGAAGAGAACAGCAGGCTGAAGCATACAATCATGCTTAAGGTTTGTCAGCCTTTTCAAAATAACTTTAATATGGCTTGTTTCTGTAGTTATGTTGACTGTTTCTATGTGTTTGCACATGTAAAAACACTGTTCAGTCTTAATAATTGTTTTTGAGCTTACAGCCCTCAGATTTCACACCTTGGCTTTGTGTCTGATGTTATAAAACTCCTTTCCTCTCCTTTGTTAAAGACTCCTTTATTATTAAGTGATAGACTTAGTCAATAGAGAAACTGACTGTGCTGACAATTCTTGCTAAAGATGCCCTAACATGTTGTCAAGCATAGAAAATACAACTTGGAACTCCTGCAGAATTCTCTCTAATCATGATGCATTTTGCTGAAGACAGGCAAACTGTTGGTACACTAGTGTTAATGCAACAAAACCTGTGGGTTTTGGCTTGAAACCTATCCTACCCCTCCTGCAGAGGTGGCTGAGCTGGCTGATAGTGTTGGGCACATATGGCTGCCAAAGTAAAAAATGAAAAATTGACATCTTGATGTTTTGCATCTATGCCTCATTTGTAAACAGCAAATGAAACCATGTGGCTGTGTTTTTTTTCTGTGGATATTAAATTACATTCTGCATTGAAGTTCCAAGTCTGAGATGGAAAATTAATTATATTCAATTTTTTTTTTAATTGGTTTGAAGACTTAGGAAGATGTTGTCTTGTTAACCATGAAGTCTAGAGAATGTCTTTAAGACTGTGTTCTACTCACTCAAAGAAAGTTATTCAGTTCTGGTTAGCAGACTTTGTAACTATGATATGAATTTTGATTTGACCTGTTTTATTTCACTAGTAAGCTGGATACTGGAAAAATTTCTTTATTTGGTTCCTAGAACAAATGAAATTGTTTACATGGTGTGGCTGAGCATTTTAGTGTCAGTTTATTCAGTCAAACCCTAAGCAGATCTGTTGGCCCAATAGTTTGCCATTCTCTTAATTATGTAAAAGTAATCCAGAAGAAACAGGTGCTGAATAGCCACTTGATATAGTAATCACAGGGTTGTTTACTGAAAACAATTAAATTGTCTGAAATAGGAAGTCACTTGTATGAAAAAGACTTCAGAGTGTTCATGCAGCTAATGTAACCTTGTGCTCACAGGATCAAGAAATGAATAGTCTCCAGAACTGGGCTAAACGTGTTCTTGAGCTTGAAGAAGCAGTGTCTTCCCTGCAAAAAGAACTTGACGGACGCAAAAAAACTTCCTCTATTGAGGACTCAAAACAGCAGAAACCCAGGAGAGGTTTGTTGGCTAACCTGAAATCCACAGTAGCAGGTACTGCTGGCACATCTCTTGGCAGAGGCTGGGGGAAGCATGAAGAGGCTTCAACCTCAAGAAAACACGTATTGTTTGCTCATAAAGCAAAAGAATAATATTTGATTAACAAAACTAGTAATTACTGGACTGTTTTATCAATTTCATACTGTTGTTAGGTGCTTCTTTTTCTACTCTTAGATGCCCTCTTCGTTATTATGTTAAATGTTTTAAACATTTGTCAGTTAAGTTGTGCTAGGTTTAGAGCTATGTAAGTATGAACCTGAACTTCTGCTTTTATGGTTGACATGGGGACGTTATTTGAAATGGATCAATATTAAAAATCAGTATATTTTATACACCTTAAATTTTTAAGTAACTGCTATCAAGGTCTCTTGTACTTATATGCAATTCACACAAAGTGGAATATTCTTCATCTGTTGCTTGATACCTTTATAAATTATTTTCTTTTGTTATTGATTCATAGAAATGAGATGGCTTGTAACAAGTGGCTAAAACAGCTTGCTTCTTCAAAAATACCAGTAACTTTGACCTGAGAACTACCCTCCTGGGACTAAACTGACCAAATAAGACCTCATAAAAGAAACAAAATGAAGTCTTATTTATCTTCTTGCTATTTTTTCAGCTAACTTGCTTTGTAAAGAACTTGTTTTAATATCATTTAAATTTCCACTATGTGTATATGTTAAACTTCAAACAATTTATTATAAATAAAACTTTCAATTATTGTTCATTTTGATATTCATTATACGTTGTTCATTTTATAAAGGTTATATTCAGTAAAGCCAAAGATTAGGAAAGATCATAAGGAAACATAACTCTAGTTGTAACTTACCTGCATCTACCAACTCAATGTAAAGCAAGACTGAAGCATGGTAAATCTGAAAATAGATTTCTTACAGCCATTTCAGTCTGTGAGAGTGAAGTTTTTTTAATTGCTGGGAAGGTACTGTGCCTGTAGGAGTTGAAGAATTGTTCTAAAACAAAGCAGAGCTCTTATGTAAATTGGAATAATCGGTTTATTCTGTTTCTCATGATAGAAGGGAACTCAGTTTGGAGTGAGAACCTTCCCTTCAAGCAGAAGTCACTAGGTGGTGCAGTTTTCCTGCATGACACTGTTACAGCCCTTTGCTGATGTGAATGCTCCTACAGTTTCTTTGGGGCAGGCTGTTCAAATACAGTGATGAACAATTGCTCTGGTGAGTCTTCAGTCTGTCTGAAGAGGTGGGACCTGAGCCAGTGCTGGTATTGTGTGTTGAACAGTTTCTGTTAAATATAGGTTGTCTTGCAACAGTAGTTCTAAAAGTCTACACTCCCTACTGGGTAGAGTTTCTAAAATATTCTTCTCTGACACAAACTATTCCAACTACTGAAAAATATTTTGGTATTGCAGTATGATATGCTGAGTGCTGATCATTTGAATGAGAAGTTTAAGTACAAATTGCTCTAGGACAACAATAGTCAAACTGTAGGCTAAAGCTATATAATATTTCAAATGACCTCCTGCTGTGCTTTGACACACTTGTCACTGATCTGAGATTTTATGTGAGCAGCTTGCATAATACTAGCAATAATCATTTATTATCTGAGCAAGGGCTGTTTCCATGTATGTTCTGACTTCCCAGAGTACTTTTGTTGATTTTAGGAAATGGTTTGAAAAACAAGGTTGTGGTGTCTCTTTTTTTTCCCTTTTCTTAAATTAAAACAAAACCTGTAGTGAAGTTCTTACCAATTTTCATCTGTAATCTTTTCCACAGTGTTAAAGGATGTTACATTAAAGGATGTGGAGGTGCTGTTTTAAAGGACAGCTGAAGACTAAATCTTTTCTTCCCCTTCAAAAAGAAACACAGAAATGCAGAAATGGCTGGCTGCTTCGGTGGCTTCAGGCTGAACTGATATAAAGCAAGCAGCATCCATTAATATTTACCATTGTAAAATAAACTTGTTAATGGTAATGAACAGATGTTCCACGTGAAGCTACTGCTACAGGCAGAATATCAGGCTTTTTTTGGTCCCAAGTTACTACTGTACAACTTGTTTCAGACTAAGTGTTTATTAAAATTAAAAATCACCATATAATAGAAACAATATTTACATATTTAACTGATAGTCTGCTTAAACAGCACAGTTTGACTGAAGGAAGCCAATGGAGAAAAAGCAACGATTGCTGATGCTGCTGAACTTTAGCTGCAGGCACACCAAAGCTTAATGAAAAGAGTTTGAAGCTTCTGCAAAGTACCGTTTGCCTGAATAACTGGGTAAGGTGAGAGGTGGCAAAGATGGCCTGGGTTTCAGTGCTGAGAGCCAGTGTCACCAAAAGAGAAAACAAACATCTATACTGTAGGTGCATTGTAATTGCACTAGCTCATCTGTTTGGTCATTTTGATAAAAACAATTTGATATATAAAGCATAGCAAACTGCATTTCCTTTTAGAACTACAGATTTATAGAGGAGGAAAGTTTATAGTGTCTCTGCAATTTACCTTAAAATCCCATTGCATCTCTCCACAAATTGGTTTGGGCTGTGCTTGAGCTAGTTTTAGCTTTAAAACAGCTTTAGGGTTAGTTGATTGAAGCAGCAAAAATTAAGAAATATTCTCAAATAATCACAGATGATTAAAAATTAATCTTAAAATATTTTCATGGGTAGCAGTGACTGCAATGAATGTATGAACTTCCTTCACCATCCTGTGCTTTCCCATTGATTTTAGATGATGACTTGTGGGCCTTGTGGGAAACTGGAGGTTGAACACAGAGCTGCGCATGCTGCTGAGTCTGCCTTCATGGATGCTCTTCTGCATCCGAGATGGGTGTTACATTGCTTTGAAAAGATTTTAAATTTCATGAGGAACAGCAGTAAAACAACTGTTTTCAATGTAAAGAACTACAGCCATAGCCCTTCCTTAAAAGAAATCATTACACCATTTAGAAAGTCTGATAAGAGATGATGGTATTCACTAGTGTGAAATAACAAGGATACAGAAACAATTTTAATAATATGCTGCATTTGTCATGACTTTGTCATGAAGAACAACTTAAACATGTAAGACATGGGGTTGTTCCTTTTTCTTTTGAAAGCTGCTGTTTGTGTATGGCTTTTATAAAGGGATTCTTGTAATGTAATTCCATGACTTTGAGCCTAAGGCGGCTTTGAAAAGTGGCACAGGTGAATAAGCTTTCCTTCTGTCTCCCTTCCCAATCCAAAAGGTCTGCTCAGTTTGGGATGTTTCTGCAGCTGCAAAACACCAAGCATTTAAAGAGAACTTCTTTGACCACAAAAAAAGCATGATTATTTTGCTGCAGAGTTACTCTTTCCTTCAGCACTCCAGCTTCCACACTCGGTTAAGATGTCCAAACTCAAAGTAATTGGTTACAGCAGTCTGTCCAAGTAATAGTCTGTGCCAGTGATCCATGACAACAGGAAAAAAGCGGTCTTTTTTTCTATGGCTGCTGTTGATATTGCCCTTCTGTTGCTGTGTAGAAATCATCAAGTACACTCTGTAGGTAATCAAATGTTGGCCTTTCTTCTGCTTTGTCTTTCCAGCATGTTTTCATGATATCATAAAGCTCAGCCGGACAGGTTTCCATACGTGGCATTCGGTACCCACGCTGGAGAGCGACCATCACATCTGAATTGCTCATACCTTTAAAAAAAAAAAAAAACAAGTTTTGATGAATTTCCATCCTGCCCCTGTTTTCTCTGCTTTGGTGAGAGCCACAGTCAGATGCCCACCCTGGCCACCTGTGTCATTCTTTCCTTTGTGTCCCTAGGCGCAGAGGTTCTAACCTGCTTGCTCCATGCCAACAGCGAGCAGCATAAGTGTCTCACCTCAGGACCAATCCCTCCTGTTAATGCAACCTTGCTGGATTAAGAAGATTTCAGATTTTTTTTTTCCTACATTGTCTTTTGCGTAACTTGCTGATTGCAAGATAATGGACATCGCTGATACTGTTACATGTAACAGGCAATTTCCTCTCTTCTCTTCCTCATACTATTTGCACTGTGCAAAGACATCAGCTGTGCTGAGTTTTGTTTTGTTTCTCAATTATTGTTCTCTCTTCCTTTTCTCAGAAAAAGAACTACCAGCAGTGCAGCTTCTGTCTCATTTGCCTCTCAAGGACCAGTTCTGTGAGGGTGGCCTGCTATCAACTGTGTACTCCTCCTCATGTTTCCTTCTAGTTTCCTCCTTTCAGGTCCTCGAGAGCTTGGTTCAGAGTGATTTGATCACTTTACACTTAGAAGGCAATCCTTCACATGCCTGGGCCAACAAGAGAACCGCTTCCTGCCTTTCAGCTGCCCCTTCCTCTGCACAGTTTGTGCAAGCCAATGGAGTAATTATGCCAGGACCATCTTTTCCAAAACACAAGACTCTAAGCTTTCTACATTTCAGGGAATGCCATTTCTTCTCCTGATGACACCTGTGGGAAGCACCTGTGTTTCAGCCTGGATATTTGCCTCTATCAGTGAGAACTTTATCTATACCGAGAAGGGCATTCCAGCCCTGACAACTGCTGGCATGAATGCTGCATGCAGGCAGTTCTGCCCAAGACTCCAGCTCTTCAGTAGGGGCATGGGATGTTTTCACAGAACACAGAGTTACTGCAATATAGACAAAGCAAAACTAAAATAAATACAGAAAGCAAACCACTACAGTATTTTTACAGAGAACAGTGATCTGAGTGCTTGAACTTAAAGAAGTTTAGAATGTACTCACTGAAATAGTTGGTCATATTATGCAAAGCCTTAGCTAGCTACAACACATGGGGACTGATGCTCCTAGGCTTTTGTGTTGAACGGGACCAATGCTGGGGGTTAAAGTACCTTTTTGGCTTGTGCTTAGATCTACTGTCTTTAAGGAATAATCGCTACATGCTGAATGCCAGGGACAAGTAATGCTTTAGTTAACTTACTTACTTACTTAAACAGTTATTTTTTCCTCAAGTTCAAAAGACAAAACTGAAAAGCCTTTTGTCACTACTTTGTACTAAATACATAATGAACATACTTGAACATGTGTTTTCTTTAAAAAAACAAAACACCTTACCTATCTACCCTAAACTCCTTGTAGTGCTCTCAAACTAGCCACTCATTCAACTTTTCCATTTTTTTTTTCAGCAAGAATTACCAAAACTACACCCTAGTTGGTAAATGACACACATTTGTTGCATTTGTGTTATGCTTACACTCTAGATTTTGTATGGGTCTGTTTTAATTTACATTGTGGTACCTGCTAAGCTTCATAGATAGAGACATACTTCTGGATGATAGAGCCCAGGAAGTGATGTGAACACAGCAGTATGGAGGAAGAATCCCAGTGCATAGAAAATAGCGCATCTTGTGAAGAACAGCTGACATAATTGGAATGCAAATGTGTCTGTTTCCAATATTTGACATACTGTATAATCACCTGGAAATTAATTTTTAACGACCAATTCAACTTCCTTGCCTACAGATCTGTGCCATATTTCAGAGGTTTCCTGAACCTATCGTCCCACTACCTGCTTTGAGTTTCTCTGGAAGAAAAACAGCTGTTGGAATTTAGGAACAAAGATCACAAAAACTCCATCTCTTTTGCCTGGAAATCCTTCCTACCCAGTTGTCTGATTAGATTTTCTTTGCTAGCATAAATCACACCCTTTCAAATGCAGCTTTATGCTGAAACTTGCTAGTTGCCAGAAATACTTCAAAACATTATTTTCAATTATTAAGTGTTCCCATTAGAATTGAAAAATCCATTTACTGTTCTGCCCCAGTGGCTGCTAGTTACATCCTATAACTTATTCTTGCCATGCTGGGGTAATTTGCCCAAAATGGTCACTTTTCTTCATGTGAAATAAATTGGTCATCCACTTATTTTGCTGTCCTAATGGTTCTTCAATGTTAACTTTCTGTCTATTAGGTGACTTGGCTTACACTTTTGTTTAAAATAGACATATATCCCTCTTGCAGCTTAATGCAAACAAGGCCTGAGAATTATTAAAATCTTTCACTATGCAATCAGAGGCTTCCCCACCAAATTGCTGTCTGACAAATGAATCCACAGTGTATGGCTTATTTATCATGCTCATAAAAATGTTTCTATACTTAAAAAAATAAAAAATACTGTCCAGACTTCCCCTAGAAGAATTTTCCCACAGCAGTACAGTGTTTTTTGTACCACTTGATTTTACTCTTAAACTAGAAATATGATAGATTTTACAGAGCTGAAGAGACTGCTTAGCTGCAGGATTAAATACTGGTTTGGGTCTTGTGTTTTTGTAGTGTTGGTTTCTGGGTGAGCTTGTAGCTTTGCTCAGGGAAGGACAATTTTCAAGCCATTCACAAATAACCTTAGGAAGCCATCTCAGCATAGGCCAGTGTCTGGATACGTGGGCATGTGCTAATGGGAAATAAAATATTCCAGCTGTGGGAAGAACCACACCTTACCCTGGTGCATACAGCTTCCACCTGATCTTTCCTTGGGGATATGAGCATTTTTCTAGAGTAGGTTTGGGAGGACCTGCTACTTAGGCACATATTTTATATCCCTTGCCTAAAAAATTACCCTGATCATATGTTTAAACATTTAGTTGTGTAAGCAGCCCTATCACCTCTTGCAGTTGAGGGGGTTGTTCTTGAGTTTAAGTGCTTCCCTGGACTGGAGCCTTGCAGAGCCATCAGATAGACTGTTTTGGCTCTACCACTTGCATGGAAAGTTGATATATTCTTCCCTCACCTAATGTAAAGTTGGCTGCCATCACCTTTTCCTCTGCTGCTTGAGTCTCACATGAGGTCCTGCATCACCATGCCCAGAAGTGTTAAGTCTTCTCAGTCACCAACTTCTATCCCTTTGACATCTCCTTTCACTGCCTGCCAACTGCAGGATTCTAAGGCTTCTCAGAAGTTACTCCATCTACTAAGTGGAGGTGAGCATTACAAGTGAATACAGCTGTAATTGCTCCCATTGCCCACAAGATACGAGAATTTAGGTTAATTTTTTATGTCAGTGAGCTTGAGTGCAGTCTGCTTGCTCCTAGCTAATCAGCTGTGCCTGAGATGCAACAATTTTCTATGCACAAATATCCTTTACCCAAGCTGTTTCTCTGTGTTGAAAACATTAGTAGATATTTTGTTTAGCAGAAAGAAAAATGAAACAAAGCACCAAACCATTTCACAGCTACATAATGTAGCCATTATCAATGTCCTCACTGGGACCCTGTATCTGAACCATAGGAAACAAGTGTATCTACTCCTAGTGGTCCATCAACACATTGCCTTAGGCTCACTTTTCTTAATTGTTTAGATTAGCTAACACTGACAAAATATTCGAGCCTATTTGCTTGTGAAAACACACTTTCTTGGTACTTTCCAATATTACATCAAAAAAAGACAGTGGCTTATGTAGCAGCTCAGTGGTAACTACTGAACGTATAAAAATGATTCCTCATTCATGGTGCTATTAGTCCATTCACTAAGATTTACCTAAGAGATGCACATGGCCTATACATACGGTGATTAAAAGTTTTCAAAACATGAACTTAACCTGCTTGATGTTTTCCACATCACTGGTGTTGCTGCTGTCAAATGCCAGCTCTTTCACAGAATCATAGAATTGCTCAGGTTGGAAAAGACCTTAAAGATCATCAATTCCAACCACAACCTAACCATACTACCCTAACTCCCTCCACTAAACCATGTTCCTGAGCATCACATCCAAAGGTTTTTAAACACATCCAAGGGATGGTGACTCAACCACCTCCCAGGGCAGCCTATTCCAGTGCTTAACAACCCTTTCTGTAAAGAAGTGTTTCCTGATATCCAACCTAAAGTTACCCTGGAGCAATTTGAGGCCATTTCCCTTAGTCCTGTCACCTGTCACCAGTGAGAAGAGACCAACCCCGCTCTGTGCTGTAAGCACCTTTAAGATTTTGGAAGAGAGCAATAAGGTCTGTCTCAGCCTGCTTTCCCTGGGTATTTTATTCGCCTTTTAACACTGAAGTGTAAATACAGAGACACAGTATAAATATACATCCATACCTGGATAAGGAATCTTTCCATATGTAACTATTTCATACAGGAGAATCCCAAATGACCATACATCAGACTTAATAGTGAAAGATCCATAGTTAATCGCCTCTGGTGCTGTCCACTTAATAGGGAACTTTGCACCTAAAAAACAATGCAGTTTCAATCAGTCAAAGGCAATTTTTTTTTTCCACATGGAGGAATTCAATGACACCTTTGCTTTATCCACACTTCCTTATCATGTGCCATTTTGTCAGACTGTCCTGCTGCCATCTGTTACACAGCAAATATAATGGAATACTGGCAGGAAGGTTCAGCGTCCACTGCCATGCCACCAACATCCACCTCTGACGTGGTAGGCCAACATAATGAAACAAGAGGCATTATTTTTGGATCAACCCTCATACATGGCACCTTTTGCCTCTCCAGCATCGTGAATTTTTGCTACAGTGGCAGTAAGCATTCTCCTTTCTACCCAGTTGTCAGGGAAAAAAAAATCATCTGACGATTCCCATCAGATGGAACTTCACAAGACTTTAATTAACTTTTACCATTTTAAAGAAAGCCAATCTAGCTTCAGCATGCATTTTAGCATATTTCAATGTGTATTTTAACATATTTCACATTCAGTTATTTCTAAACAGCCATATCTTAAAAAGATAAGCAGTTTTGCAAAAGGTTCTCTCAACAATTGCAACTACTGGGGCTGCTTCCTTTCTGTAGAGGAAAGGTGGTGCATATGGCACTTAGAATATGAAGAAAAAGTAATTCATAGTTTTTCAGCATTTAATTCAATGGATGGAAGCTGTGGATGTATAATAAATTTGTTCGATTTAGAAAAAAAAAAAAAGTGTACATTTTCTAATTTCCTTTACAAGGAGGAAATAATATATATATATTTTGTAAATTCAGTTTTCCACAAGCCTGGAAAGCACAGAAAGATTGTTTGTTTCCTTATTCTTTTTAAAAGTTTAAAATGCTGCCTCTAGGAAGTTGTTATGGCATTTTCTGTTCTGGTGACCACATTATTTATAGATACAGTCCCACTGCCTCCCAGAGGCTGAAGTTTTAAGGGCAACCATAAAAGTACGTACCTTCTCTTGCTGTATATTCATTGTCTTCAATGACTCTAGCTAGTCCAAAATCAGCAATTTTGCACATCAGTAAGTCTGAAACCAGAACATTAGCTGCTCTCAAGTCTCGATGGATGTAATTTTTTCTTTCTATGTATGCCATCCCTTCTGCGATCTGTAACAAAAGGAACAAATATTTTGGTATTACAACACCATACAATACCACCAACAGCCCGGCCCCTCTGTTCTTTCTATTACTCAGCGAAGTGACATTCATTTATTCATTGCCAGTAGAGAGACAGATGTTCTTTTAAGGTTTGATTAAGCAACAATGCAAATAGTTAAAAAATGAAAACAAGCAAACAAAAATCCCCACCAACTTTCTAATCACCTGCTATCAGCCTGGGCAATTACGAAACAGTTACTAAGACAAGTCAAATAACTTACGTTTATCTTCCCCTGCAGCATCGCCTACTTGCTCATACATGAGGAGCATTTGGCATCAGCAAGCATTCAGATCCTATCATAGGTAAATTTCATCTGCGTTTCATCAACCCAAGTTATTTTCCAAACCAAATTAAAGGTGATTAATGACCTCAGAACATAAATTGGGATGATTATTTCAGTGCTTGTCCAGACTGCTCTTTTTAAATCCACCAAAGAAAAATGCATTGCTTTTCAGAAAGAAAAGAAACAGAAACAAATAGTTTCTCAGCTCAGAGCAGTAGGTCTTACATGTGGTTAGTATGCTGTCCAAAAGCTTAATGGGAAAAAAAAATAGTGTTTGGGAGCTGTCAATATTTCTCTCCCTTGTGAGATTGCTGGTAGGTTGTTCCCAAGCAAGGCCTGCAACCTAACCTTTGCTACAGATCCTATCCCAGAATGACTGGAGGCAACAGGTCTTTGCCATCCACATGGCTTGGGGAACACAGAATCACAGAATTACAGAATCATAGGGCTTGAAAGGGACCTCCAGAGATCATCGAGTCCAACCCCCCTGCCAAAGCAGGCTCCCTACACCTGTAAGCACAAACACAAAAGCTCTCAAGTTTCATAGAATCATAGAATGGTTTGCATTGGAAGGGACCTTTAAGATCATCTAGTTCCAACCCCCTGCTAAAGGCAGGGACACCTCCCTCTAGGCAAGGTTGCTCAAAACCCCATCCAGCCTGGCTTTGAATGCTTCCAGGGAGGGGGCATCCACAACCTCACTGGACAACCTGTTCCAGTGTCTCACCACCCTCACAGTAAAGAATTTCTTCCTAATATCTAGTCTAAATCTACCCTCTTCCAGTTTAAGGCCACTTCCCCTCATCCTGTTGCTATCTGCCCTAATAAAAAGTCCCTCTCCAGCTTTCCTGTAGGCTCCCTTTAAGTACTTCATTTGTTAATGAAGCAGACGCAAAGCAAGAGTCCTTTTCCAGTCCTGATCCCTACACTACTCAGACATGAGCTCCTTCCTCTCCATCTCAGCAGAATTCAGATACATGGCTGCCTGTCATCGCCAGAGCAGCAGGTTTCAGCTGTGCAGAAAAGCAGGCACAAGCACCCGACCAAATTTTAAGCAAACATGAACACCACTTCTGCTTATGCATTTTTCAAAAGTCCCCGATGGGTACAACATACGCACACACTACTACCACTCACAGCACCGAAACCACACTGTCTTCATTCCTCTTTTTCGGTTGAAGCAGTGGAAAATACAGTCACTTTCCTTCCCACCTTCCACTGCAATGGTTTTCTTACAAGCTGACAGACAACAACTTCTGCAGGGCAGTCTTTAATTTCACTTACAGAATACAAAGGGGTGCTCACACTAAACCAGGAAGAAACTGATGATGAAGAGAGTCTGCATTTCATATTTTCTAGATATAAGTCAAAGGTATTTTATGATGAAAGAAGAAGCTACTTGTGAATAACTGCTGCAGTGTCCTGCTAGAGACTCAAAGACATCTCACAAAATGGAAGAGTGGTATTTGGTTCTCTCCTCCAAATACAATTACTTGAGTCTGGGGAGGAAGGAGATGTGAATGTTTTGCTTTAAGAACTATGCTGAAATTGGACTGGCCAGCTTGGCAGATAGAACTGTAATGCAGATGGGTGCACCAACATCAATGTGAAAATACAGCAACCATCATGGAGGAATTGACTTTCCTCATACTTCCATGCACAGATGCAACATTTAGACTGGCTGCTGGGTGGGGAGTAAAGAACCACCTCAGGAAAGAGAAGGTGGTAATGGTGGCATTTAGTTTCCACACCCAGCCATGCAAAGCCACCAGAAAGCCTGTTTTATTTCTCTTCTTTGTGCCAGAACAATTGAAGACATTATCTGATTAGTCACAGGCTAAGAATGTGATAGCAAACAATTCATTACATTTTCAGCAAATACAAATTGCACTTCAGTGAAATTCCAGGACAACAGTTTTTAGTGCATCCAATCAGAGGAATGCAATGAAGCCATGGATGTACAAACATTGGAGGAGGCAAAAAATAATAATAATCATCATCCCAAATAGGAAAAGAATAATGGGCAGTGAGTTTTGAATGACAGAAGGAGGGAAAGCACAGCATCCAGCAGCTGAATACAAACATCCAGGTCACGTTAAGCCTTTCCGAGTGACAAATGAACAATAAAACAAACAACAAAACCCAAAGCACAGCAAGAAGACCCACACTCAAGAGGGCTTTTTGATGAAGGAGATGGGTGCTGGAGCCCACATGATAACTCCTCACAGTAATAGTTGGGTTTTTGTTGCCAGATTATATGCTAAAATGTAGAGAAAATTATGGGAACCAAAGGAAAAGAAAGTGCTCTTTCATCCTCTTTTAACGATCGTTTGTACTTGTCCAGGATATTGGGCTCTGTGTAGCTACAGCTCAGCAGCAGCACAGGAAAGCTAACTAGGGCTTGCAGGATATTTTTTGTAGCCTTCAGGAGAGGATTCTGCCTCCATTGCACTACTGCTACTATTAAATATTTAATAGTAGGAAAAGCAAGGAGTAAACAATGGTACCAAAGCATTCCATGCATCCTGCCCACACTTTCAAGCCCTCTGAAGTGGTTTGGGGCAATCAGCAATAGCAGCAGAGGACTATGAAGGGAGAGGAGAGAACCCAACAAAGCAACAGATCAGGAGAGGACAATGCTTTCACAGCAAAGCTGCATTTTCTGAAAACCACATGCACTTGCTCACAACCCACAGACTTTCTTGGTGAAAGACCACAGCTGAAGTTAAACAGTGCATACAAGGATGGGCAGTTATATATACATATATATATATATACATTATTATTTTCTTTTTACCAAAAGGTGAAAGCCCATTCTCTTTTTTTTTTTTTTTTTTTTTGGCTACAAAACTGGAGAGCTTCTGGATTCCTTAATATCTCAGTCTCTCAATTCAAAGATTTCAATTTCCATTCCAAGCTCTGTGATTCTCTTTTGCAAGAGTTATTGCTAACAGTACATGTTTTCCCCATTCTTTGCAATGCTGTTTATTAATGTAGCACAAGAATTACAGTAACACCTGCAACAGATTTCACGTGTAAAATCTTCATTCCTCTGCAAAACAGGGAAGTAAAACGTGGACAGCTGAAAAAAGCAATGAATTAGTATTGATTCATGATGGAGCACTGGAACAGGCTGCCCAGAGAGGCAGTGGAGTTTCCTTCTATGGATTAATGACCTGCCTGGACGCCTACCTGTGCAGCCTGCTATAGGTTGCCTGCTTTGCAGGGGCATTGGAATCAATGACTTCCAGAGGTCCCCTCCGACCTCTACAATTCTGTGATTCTGTAATTCAAAGTTGTGCCCAGCTTGTGTTTGGTTGCAAAGGAAGTCAATCCCAGGAGAAAAAACAACAACCAACCAACACAAAGGGCACGACCTACAGTTAGTAAACTACTAAGAAACGCTAGGATAAAAAACATTGTGACATTCTCCAGCTCTATTTCAGCCATGGTTTTAAAACGGAACTCATCTAGATAATTCTGAGATGCCTTGGGTACACTTTTAAAAGGCTTCACTTTGTATTGACAGATGTGGCTTTTTATTCTTCTCAGGACCTGTACACGTGACAGCCCAGGTGGAAGCACACCCAGCAGAAGCCAGGGAGCTGTGAATAAATGCTTCAAAATATCTTCCATGCTGCTGCTGCCTGTCAGCAGAAATGAAGCATGCTTGAATTGAGAGATTGGGGTATTAAGGAATCCAGAACTTCTTCAGTTTAGTAGCAAAAAAAAAAAAAAAAAAAAAAAAGAATGGTCTTTCACCTTTTGGCAAACAAGAGCATAGAACATAACTTAGTTCAAAAGGTTCATTGAATTTGCATCATATTGTCATAGCTGACCTCATAAAACATAGGCGACTGTGATTTCAATAACCATGAAACAAAGAACTGGAAATTCTGTGGGCAAGTTAGCTTTGAGACAAGACAGAAAATAGCTAGTAAAATCCAGTGTGGCAGTACTTCTGGTGATGCAATCACCTGGCTACTGCCCGTAAATGAGAGGAATGAGAGCAGTCTGCATGCTCTGGCTGCTGCATTAGCAAGATTTGGCAGCATAGATTGTGGACAAAGTGATGAAATCCACATACGCTCAAGCTCAGAACTGGGAAGCAGCAGCTAAGAGCAGCCTCATGTTTCCTCAGCCCGCTTGCTGAGCTGAGAGGCAGAAGCAGCAGGAAGTGGAAGTGGCTGTGAGTTGTATCAGCTCACGGCTGGCCGGCAGAGGAAGTTGCAAGGGCAGCCCATGAGGCCGCTGTGCTGCTCAGCTGCCCAGAAGGGAGGAAGGCTCACATGTTGGTTCCTGGCTTTGGTTCTGGCATATACTGCAAATGTACAGTTCTGCTGAATTCTGCAGGTGATGCCATAGCCCTGTTCTGCATTAATGCACGCAGTGCGTGCTGAAGGTTTGCCAAGCTCGGCTTCTTTAAAAACATTACAGAGACTGCTGCATTCATCTCTAGGGGCCAAATGTATTTTTGCCAGGGCAGGGCCAACACTAGATTTCCCCAGCTTCTACTCACATATACTATTTAAAACACAAAAGAGAAACTTCAGCTCTTTCAGGGGACAGATTTAGAAACCAAGCTGGACCACCTTCCTAGCAAGGACTTTGTTGCCACATTTTCCACAGACCTGATTTCATAAATAGTGTCTGCTTTCACAGCATAGAACAGAAATTTAAAAAAAGATCCAAGTCCACAGCCATACTGAAAGATAAGAACTAGATTTAAGTCTGCCTCAGTACTCATCTGGTACTATTAAAAATGGCATCAATGCCTGTGTATGGTCAGCAAACAGCAAAATCAGGATAGCGGTGTAGCAATATATTCATGGAATTGCTTTAAAAAGATGCTTACTATTCCCTGTGGGAGAAATCTTTGCTTTTTTTTTTTTGCAAAATCAGAATATTTTATCCCTTGCAAATGCAGATTTCTTTCAAGATTTCTCCAGGCAAAGGCTGTGTGAATTCAGGGAGCAGAGCACTGACCAGCTGCTTGGCAATGGAACACCAGCCCACTGCAGCCTTCAGCACAGTGACAAATCAGCTCCAGAACTGGGTTCATATTTAAGGGCACTACATTGTTCGGTTGTCTGTTAGTCACACAGCCACATCCTCCTCTTATCCTCAATCCTTCCTTATCCAACAAGGCCACTGTAAGGTGACAAATGCCATTCCTCTAGAGAAAAAGACAACATATTAAGTGGAAGCATATCCTGTCCCTTTTTGTTCTGCTGACTCACAAGTCCATTGCTAATGTATTGCTCTGCAACAAGTAACATTCTTTCAGAATTTTTTCTTGCAACAAGATTCTCATGCACGCATATGAGGATGCAAGCAAGCCAGCTGTGTAGTGTGGCTGTGAGCAAGTCAGTCTTGTGCAATACCACAGACTCATAAGGTGAGAAAAGACAATCCTCTGCTACCACTTCTTATGTTTTCAGTCTCCCCAAGAAGTTTGGATAGGCTGGTAAACTGCTTTACTGGAAAAGCATGGTCAGAGAGGCACGCACGGCTCATGTTTGTGCCACCAAGGAAAAACATATTCCTGATCTCATTTTCGTTCACTGTGGTTTCCTTCCATACCTCTTCCGATACACAGCTCACAGAATTTCTTTCCCCTCAAGCTGTTCAGAGAGTTTAACATCACTGCTGCAAGAATAAACTAATGATCCTTTTAGACAAGCCGAAGTGCTACCAAAACTAACCAAACATAGATTATGCTCTCATTTATGTAATACAGCCTACATTCTTGTAGTGTGTGATCTATAAGTAGTCTGCAGTAAAATCACCATTATCTTAGCAATAGGCCAACATAGTTTGAAAGTATGTTAGTCTGATTTTTGTCCTACAGAACAGGCAATTGAACAGCCAGAATTAGACAGGACTAATGGAACATCTTTGCTGTTCAAAGTGAAATCCCTGGCCTGAGAACCAAATGCAGCTTGTAAATCTATCCCATGCAGTCCTGTTTTCGGTTGATGATGTTCAAAGCCTCTAACAAACGTGCTCAAAAAACCCACAAATTCTTTCCATAGCAAAAATCCCTGTTCCAGTTGGATTTTGTTCTCTGTTCCAAAGTTTTGTTTGGGCTACAGTTGGAAATCCTCAGAAAGTGTTTCCTGAACATCCCCATACATTAACTTTGCAACCAAGTGCATGCCTTGATCTCAGATGTTTCTCTGAATAGACTACATCTTATGTGAAGAAAGGGACTTCACATACCTCCTGTGCTGCCTAAGGTCCTGCCCTCTGAGGCCAAGTGCAGGAAGAGACTTTCAAAGAGGTTACTGGCAGATCAGGATGATCAGTCACCTCCATTTCAAATGACCCACCATTCAAAGCTTTGTAAATTAGGATCACTGACCCCTGTCACAGTGAAAATTATTTACCCAGGTTTTATGCAGTTGCCTTTTCTCATTCTCCAATTCGTTAAGCATTTTTATGTTTGAAATTTCTGAAAATGCTAAACTCTTTTTAACAACACAACATCTTGAGCTCTAATAAAAAGGTCTACTGCACAACCACATGTGCTGGCTGACCTTCAGTCTCCCTCCATATCACTGACCACAGATATTCTTCTCTCCCTTCAATTTTGCCCAATATTTTCAAAGCTACCAAATATATATATATTTTCAACCTTTTACAGTCAGCATTGCTCATCTCTCCAAACCATGGGTTGGAATCAAATGGGTTTTTCACATCTATAAAGCTTTTATCTCCACTAAATTCTCCAGGATGAATTACCTAAATAGTTCAGAATACTTAACCTGTAGCTACACTGCATTACACAGTAATTATAGTAAAAACAGCTCCTGTATTGAATCTGTTACAAAAAATCTGTATTTGAGATATTGAACACCTACATAAAAATGTCTCAATATACAATGTATTTAACAGTTGTGTAATGATCTCATATCAAATGTTTTTGTATAAATTACTAATATTTTATTAAATCTTTTAAGGGCTTTCTCATCTTTCCCCATGACTTTGTAGCAAGATAGTAAAACAGACTATAACCATCTGCAAACTATAGTGCATTAAGAACAGGTTGGAGAAAAGAAAACCTACCAGAAATGCCTTCATTACATATTAGTAACATGAGCTACAACTTTATGTAAATTGTAATTGTGCAAACCCACAACTCTCACCCTGGTTTCTATATGCCCCCTGGACATCTGAAGTTTGCAATATCAGAAGCAGAACACCAGACTACAGGCATCTGACACAGACTTTGACATATAAGTAACTCTGGCCTATGATAGATAGTTATGGGATAACTCATGCATTTTGAAACAATCACTGGTCAGCCGCTAGCACCTGAAACACCATTTGATTAGATTTTACTAATTTCACAGTAATTTACATAAGATTTTGAAACCAACAATACTCTGCAGAAGTTAAGAGAGAGATTTGACTAATTGACCTATTTATGAAGACTATCCTCCTATTAACGAATATTATAAGTGCTGACTCTGTAGAACTTGCACTTAATCTTCCACCTCATAGCTGCTCTAAGTGAAAACAGCCTTTCCACAAAGGGAAGTGACTGTGTACCACTGCCATCTAAGCAGCTCACTGTCAAAGAGGGATGCCTACCTTCACACATTCACTTTGAAACACTTTTTTCCTCTATTCCCCTCTTTCAAGTAACCCGGTCTATTCAGACCAAAATATATTTGAAAACTACATTCTCTTTTAATGAAGAAGAAAAAATACAGTAAAGTTTTCCATCGTGAATTTCAGTCTTGGAGAGAAATAGTCCCCCTCAATTTTTAGCATATTTCTTAAATCTTACCTGAGCAGAGAAGTCAATTAGCTTTGGAAGCATCAATTTACTTCCTTCATCACTCTTCAGAAAATCCAGCAAGCTTCCTGTTACAACAGAGAACGATTAAGTCAGTGTAGCTTACTATCACAATAAAGTTCCCAATGGGTACCCAATTTCTCGGGTCACAGATTTTTTGTAGTGAATAGTTTTGATTTATTTTCAAGTAGATTGCAGGAAGATCATCTCTTTACATAATTTAATAACAGTAATGCTCAGGTCAGAACGTCAGGTATCCAAGTTTTGCAGTTTTCCTGAGTGTTGAAAACTAATCAGAGTATACCTTCATTCAGTGGTGAATCTGATAATGACCCTATTCTACGGGCTATCAAGAAAGATCACTAGGAGAATCACACTTATTAATTCTTTCAAAGTCATAAAGAAGAAGTTCCTGAATTCTGAATTCTAACTGGTGTTTATGAAGTCATCATCACTACTGCTTGAAAACAGATTGAAACAAATAAATTAAATTAGATTGTCTCTCTACTGAGACAATCAGTGAAGGAAATCGCACTTTCCTGTGTCATGATGCTCTGCTACAGGTTGTCCTTTTGTAGTAGGGCAGCAGTCCTTGTACACATCACTCATTTTATTACCCAAACACTTATCAATTCAAGGGCTACACAAGGCAATTTCTAACATTTTCATTATTGAGTGTCTCATTAGAACAACAGACAAAAAAATTAGATACTGGAACTCAGAGGAAGCATATTAATTTGAGCATTACATGCTCTGCATCTAAAACAATTCAAGAATGATACATTTAGAGATAGCTATCTTAAAAATGCAACAAGGAATCATAAATTTAAATATTTCTCTCTTTGAAGACAGATGCCTTATTTTGGAGCATACAAGAGAATAGTGCTAAAATCCAAAGTTTTCCTTTTCTGTTCCTTGCTTCTTAAAGGAAGTGCACTGACTTATGGGAAGCATTTACTGAGACGCTATGTTATAATGATCCTACGTCATTCTCACCTTTTGCCATGAATTCTGTTATTATATAAATAGGTTCTTCTTTGGTCACTACAGCATAAAGCCTAACTAACTTGTCATGCTGAAGCGTCTTCATGAGGTTGGCTTCCTCCAGAAAGGCTTGCACAGACATTGTTCCAGGCTTCAGAGTCTTCACAGCCACTTTTGTACTATTATGATAGTAACCTGAAAAGAGGAAACATGTTCAGTCACCCTGCTTAGCACTGCACCCTTACCTGTAGGAATACACAGTGCAGGTTAGATTCCATTAACAGCTACAAAACCCAAGAGCTTGTGATCGGGTGGAGCACAAGTATTTACATTAAAATTGCATTTTGTTTTGCCATCCCATTTAGTAAAAACTAATCAATTTCCTACTTTTTTTTTTTTTTTTTGAATGACTTATCTCAAAAAAACACCTAAAGAAAGAAAGCTATCTTACTTTGTGCCAAGCTTTCATTTATAAGTAGCCCATGAGAAAACATCAAAACAGTCAAGAGATGTTTTAATGAATGTTCACATAAATTGCCTTAAATTCTTAACAGAGGCAATGGAGTGCTTACAGGATCACGGAATGTCTTTAAATACCATGATTAGACCTATTTTATGCCTGCCTGTCTCATGCTTTTAATCTTTTCTTAAACCCTTGGTACTCAAAATGGAACATTTCAGTAAAGTGCAATCAAAAGAGCATTCTCGTGACCAACAAAGATATGCTGGCAGGACTGCAGCCCTGCAGAGTTCGCAGCAAGATTCAAAACACGATAATTCCTTTCCAGCAAAGCACATGCCAAGAGCAGACATGACTGTGGGTACTTCATTTCTCTGTTTAACCTTCTGATGTAATGTTCTACTAATACGCGATGTAAGCAATAGTAAATAAGAAAGTAGTGAATTGTTTTCTGAGCCAAATATTTATTAAATGTTAAAGTAGCATTTAAAAATTAATAGAATAGGAAGAATTGATCCTAAAGTTTATCTTGTAAAGCCTTTTACTATGGGAAAGAAAAGTAAAGAAGAAAAAAACAGAGGGACAGAGAGGGGTATAAATACAACTTCTTCCTAATGTTCCAGATTTACAGAATGCTTCAGTAATATCGAACCACAGCCTTTTGTCCTCTACTATACACATTTCAACATTGCAAAAATGCACTTCGGAAGAGGCAAAGCTTCCATGACTCGACAAAAAAGCAGCACTTCGTTATTCAGCAGCAATCTGGACAGTATTACCATAATGGATGTACCTGTGGTACATTTGAGCCCACCATTTCTTTACACTACATTTCTTTATACTCTCTGTTGTCTAAGCAAAGCAAGGGATTAACTCCAAGATCCTAAGTCATTGCTCTAACCAATACACATTTTATCACCTGTGGAAAAGAGAGATCATTGCCTGACAAAAGCAACTGTATCTGTGACTAAACATTTACCTGCACGATTATTAAATGTATTTTTTCCAAGCATAGTGAGATCAAAGCATAATACAGACATGCCTCCATATGATCTAATAATTAGAAATGACAACAACAGGTCAAATTCTGCCACTGAAGCTCAAATACATAATTTCCACCCACCAAAAAAGAAGTTAAATCTCTTTCTGCTTACAAAGTATGAAGCATCTTTATACAGCTTATAATGTTCTATTCCATATCCTGAGTGAGAGCTTTAGTTCCACTCTATCTTTGTGGAATAATCTGCTAAACATACTAATTAATACCATTACTTCTGAAGTGATCTATGCTCTTGACATTAACTACATAAAAGCATAAAAGTATTTCACATTCACTAAAGAGGTCCACCAGATGATGTTGGTGCTCACAGAAAGTTTATGTTACTAACAACAAAAACCCCACCCAACATTGATGTTTTCTGCAGGAAAACAGTCTGTTGTGTTCTGGTAACAGAAATCAAAGTAGCACAAGGGCATTAGAGACATTTGATCCTGATCTGTCTCTCATTCATTTATTTCATCAGGTATCAGGACACACACAAATTCCAAAATGATAGGTAAGCAATTACGTTCTTACTCACAACTAGGACATCTGACATGAAATTCAGATTCTTTGCCAAGTAATATTCAGATCCTGCGTGCGCTGTCAAAAATACACTTGTGATGCTGAAGAGATGTTTTCCCGCCAGTTTTTCCATTTCATTTTATATGCCTTTGTGTTAATAACACTATTCTGCAGTATGGTGTACTCTGATTACTGATATCTCAACATTTTTATTACTTACATTCTAATTTGGGGTTTAAAAAAATGTTTTGCAACTGAGATGCAAGCAAAATGTGCCTCATTAATAAAATACACTATAATGGCTCCATTTCTGTTGTTAACTTTTCTCTTACCCTTATTTGAGAATTCTATGCATGGATTATTAATGCCACAGAGCATTATGGTTCACATCATATCAATGCATACTAGGAACAAAAATGCATAAAACATAGACTCTACTCTTACAGTGCTACTCCAGTTTGTCACTGCACTAAGGGAGCTGCCCAAATGCAGCTGAAAAGCCTTCCATACCATGGCAGGAACCAAGTCTCTCAGCAGTTAAGGCTTTTTTAAAACACTGTATGTGATGCAAGCAATAACACACAGCCAGGTTGTCTCCAGATTCTTGCATGGGCTTAATCAGACCAAGTGTGATATGAATCCATAACAGACAATAGTAAAGCTTTTCTGACCACATCTCCAGGACTGAAGATGAACAGATCATCTTGTGAACAAGACAACATTCTCCTTCTTCTGCCTTCAAAGTGCATAAGGTTACACTGTGAACAACCTGAGCTACAGAAATATGACACTGTTAGAAGGCAGATAATGTCTCAAGCCATCACAGCTGCAAGAGCTATGGTTTATCCAGGATGCTGGCTGAGAAACAGCAGTTTCTTCACATCCTATCGCAGTTTGGCTCATTACTCCTTCCTCACCTATAGGCACAGAATCATAGCATCGTTTGGGTTGAAAAGGACTTGAAGGACCACCCAGTTCCAACCCCCTGCCATGGGCAGGGACACCTCCCACTAGACAAAGTTGCTCAAATCCCCATCCAACCTGGCCTTGAACACTTCCAGGGACATTCCAGTTCCATTCACAACTTCTCTGGGCAATCTCTTCCATTGTCTCATCATCCTTTGAGTAAAGAATTTCTTATCTCTAACCTCAGACAACCCTCTTTTACTTTAAAGCTTGACCCATCAGTACAGGCCCTGGTAAAAAGTCTTTCTCCATCTTTCTTATAAGCACCTATTTTAAGGCCACAATAAGGTCCCCCTGAAGCTTCCTCCCAGGCTAAACAACCTCAACTCTACAGTCTGCCTTCATAGAACAGTCATTTTGTAGCCCTGCTCAAACAGTTCCATGTCTCTCTTGTGCTGGGGACCCCAGAGCGATATGCAGGACTTGAGATGGGGTCTCACAAGAGCAGAGTAGAGGGGGAGAATCACATCCCTCACTCTGATGGTCATGTTTCTTTTGACACAGCCCCAGACACGATTGGCTTTCTGGGCTACAAGTGCTTGTTGCTGGCTTGCATCCAATTTTTCATCTATTAATATCTCCAAGTCCTCCACGGGTCTACTCTCAATCCCCCACTCTGTTCTGATACTGGAGATTGCTCTGACTCAGCTGCAGAACCTTGCACTTGACCCTGCTGAACTTCATGAGATTTATATAGGCCCACCACTCAAGAGAAGGCCACACTGAATGGTACTTTCCTTCTAGAATATCAATTGCACCACTCAGTTTGGCACAAATTTACTGAGAGTGCACTCGATCCTGCTGTATTTTTAATAACAGTATTGAAAGTGTAGGTTGGAAGGGCCATTGGGCCCAACCCCCTCTGCAGCAGGGACACCAGAGCAGGGGGCCAAGCCCACGTCCATGCAATTGCTGAACGTCCCTGAGGAGGAGACCCCCACACACAGACTGCGTCAGTGCTCTGTCACCTGCACAGCACTAAAGTGCTCCTAGGGTTCCGAGGCAACCTCCTCTGTTCCAGTTTGTGCCCACTGCTTCCCATCCTGGCACTGGGCACCACTGAAAGGAGCCTGGTTCTCTCTTTTTTGCACTCTCCCTTCAGGTATTTATGGACATTGATAAGATTGCCCCCAACACTCCTCTTCTCCAGGCTGAACAGTCTCAGTTCTCTGAGCATTTCCTCACAGAAGTCATGCTCCAGTCCTTTCATCACCTTTGTGGCCCTTTGTTGGAATCTCATCAGTAGTTCCGTGTCTCTCTTGTACCAGGAAGGCTAGAACTAGATACAGTTCCTCTGAACTGGATGCTCTTCCCTCTGAAACCAAAATTCTAGGTACCCTTGAGCAAGTTGAAATGTCTTTAGTAATTAAGATATGGAGTAGTATTTCTCATTCATGCTGTGGCCTACGAATCATTTTGCTTCAAATGAAGTATATAACTGGGAGGGTGTAACAAGACTTCTCCATACCTCCAAATAATGCCAAATGCCTCTATGTTGGTCATCATCACAATTAACAGTTTGTTGGCATCCTGCACAGATCACATAGTCTTTTTTCATCTCAAACTTTACCCATACTCCTGATTTGAAAGGGTTTGCACCAAGTAAATCAGCTTCTCTTGCTTCAGAAAGGAAGCAGAGAAGAGGAAACACAATGAATCATTTCACAGCACATTAATTTTTCTCACAGCGCAGCAATTCAGATACAAGGGTTAGACCCAACTGAGATGTCAAAATAAGGACACAAACAAGAGGAAGCATCTTGAAACAGAAACACCCTTTCAAAGCTTAATGCCTTTGTGTGTGTATGCAGAAGTAGTCACTTCCCATAATGATTTACATTTTCAAGCGGGTGATAACGTTCGGCCATGAAGTTTTCCACAGCACTTCAGTGTCAGTTAATTATTTCTTGCCCTGATTTATTAGGCAGAGAAAAATGGTACAATGGCAAGCTTGTCTCAACTAGCACAAAAATTGTCACTCAAGCCAGAGGCTTTCTTAAGCCTTTTCTTATGAAGGCAGGTAAAAGGCTGAATCTGGTTATGTCACATCACAGAGATGTGTTGCTGGCATTTTTACATGATTTATACGGGAAGATTGCACCTACAATTGAGTTAGACCTTTCTGACTGACTGTAAACACGCGTGGAATTTGCCAAATAGAACCACTCTGTGCTTTACTTTTACCTAAGGAAGGTACCGTTTATCTTCATTAAGTCAAGTAAGATAGTAACCGCTAACCAGCGTGTAAGTAAAGAATAGCACACAGAACATGTAATATGAAACCAAAAGAATACTCAGAAGCCTCAATAGGCAGCATTTCAAAAGAAGAGAATTGAATCATGATCAGACTGTGATTAGACAATGGTTGTAACTCTTTGCTAAAGGAAGTCAGTGAAGCTGAGAAAATGTTTTTAAACAACCAAGGTTAATTATGATTATAACTAACACTCTAATTTTGTTAACACTGACTACTACAATCTTGCGATGCTTTCATTACTGGAGACTTGCATGATAGCCTCCATATCAATCTCTAACTTTCTACCTATGTAAGTCACCTACCTTCCTGAGCAAAAAGCTCATACCATAATCTTGGATTAAACAACCCATTTTTTTTCATGCAGTATGATAGCCCCATACACTATACTTCACTCTTTTCTTTACCAATGGATGATAAAAACTACACATAATTCACTAAAAGACAATTACTTTACATTTCAGATTTTCCACCACAATCTGATTCGACTTAAAGTTCTGAGATGCCAACCAATTTTGAGAACTGGGAGTCAAATCTTAGCAAAATCTTCTATTTTCCCCATAAAGCACAACAACAATAACAAAAACAGTTGTATTAGACACCTTAAACTACTGTGCTTGCTCCTAAGATTTTGTCTGTGTCAGATACCTTACCCTTCACAAATCCTCTCTCCTGTTATTTTTCCTCATGGGAAGTATATTCTGGGTATATTAAATCAGGCCTTTGTATCTACTGTTATTTGGATTAATTCTTAAATGCTACTACTTTCAGCTGATGTACTCTTTTCAAAGAAGTAAGCTTACCCATCCAGACTTCTCCAAACTGACCAGCTCCGAGCTTCTTCACTAATTTAATTGATTCTCGTGGAATTTCCCATGCATCTTTATCCCATGGTTTTTGAGGCTTTGGACTAATACAAGCTTTTTCCAATTTTCTGCATAAGCCATCTGATTGTTCTGTTTTCCAAAAGAAACACAAACTATAAAATCCATTACAATTTTATGTCTTACATTCTTTTAGACAAAGACCACTAAATTTAAGCGTGCATTAACTAGTTCAAAGCTGTTTCAAAGTAGTTCAGTTCCTTGATAAAAGCATAACCTTTTCACACTTAAGAGAGAAGTGTCACACGCATCTGGTTACCATCATTGGGTGGTTTTTTGTTGTTAGTTTTTTATTAATTACAATTTGTAACATATAAATTTAAGACTTGATTGATAACAGTCGTAGATGAAGATGCACATTTGTGTTGAGCTTGAAACCTGTATTCAGAATTTGTCATCAGGTATTCTTATCATATGTTTCAGTTGTGCACATACACAGGAATGCAAGCATAAGTAGGTCACAACTATTTTTTTCTCCAGCCACATATCAGCTATAACTTTAACACAAATGTAAAATAATTATCAGGTTTACAAGCTGTGCAGAGAAATTATCTTACCACACATATCTAACAACATAGAGAAACATCATGGCCAAGACCTCAGCATGGCTTTGAAAAATTGATGTGATTTACATCTTACTTCTTCTCTGTCTTCCCAAAGACAAGACAAATATATATGTTTTTGAGTTTCTGAACAGGAGGTTGTGCAAAATAAAAGGTCACTTTTGTAGCTAAAGTATAGGTGGAAACTTGATCCTACCCCTCTCTTCCTGTTTGTAATAAAAGTAGGTGTAATATACTCTCACAGACAGAATTTATTTGTTTATAATGCAGTCAGTCTTGTCTATTGTCTCACATCATCATCACTATGATGAGATAAAGCTGTTCTGTATTTTACAATTGTATGCAACTGAGCGTGTATTAGGCCTAATTATAAAGCAGCCTTAGTAGGGTTCCAATCATTTTTACTTTACCTTTAATAACATGCATGTCTGAGTTACTTAGAAATAAGAGATAAAAAGTTTTGAATCAAAACAAGAAATTATTTACTTTCCTTCACAGAATGGCTGCATTCAATTCCGTAATCCACTAACACTTTTAACTTACTTTGATAATGCTTGATCATATCATTGATGCTGGGAAAAGTTATTCTTGGAGAGATGTAAAATCCTCCATTGTCTAGACTCCTAATTTTGTAGTGCTTAATGACATCACCATGTTGGGGATCATAGTCTCTTATGGACAGAGAATAGCTGCCTGAGAATAAAGAAAGAATGATTGTTAACAGATAGCAAGTCTGGGCTGCTCACACACAAACAACCAAAATACCTACTTTATTTTTACTTCGCTTCTTCCTCAAAAAAGCCTATTGCAAGCAACATAAGGAATTCAGTTAATAGCTAGCTCTGAACTGGTCACCAAAATGCTTACAGTCAGACTTTCTCTTTCATTCTTATTCAGTAAATTTAAGGGTTCCATAATCCAGTCATCCATAACTAATGTGCACTTCTGCATAAAGTCACACTGACTTGAGTACAAACATCTGGGAAAGCAACTCTAGGGTTGTCAAACCAGTGAGATAGAAACTAAAATTCGGAGATCAGCATGTTAAAAAAGGAACAAGCTAGATGTCGTGGCCAGCTAGAAAAGGGATTGTTTGGAAATGGCCTGAGGCATGCAAGAGGGCAAGAAGATCTTTCAATATTTGGGATCCTAACCTCAGTTAGGAATTAAGATGGGGCAGCATATTATCGATCCTAAACTACAGAATTCTTAATTTATTTCACTTGCACAAATCTCATAATCTATTTTCAAAGGAGAAGAAACCACCTTGGTTCCTTCTCTTTCTCTCCACATGCACATCCGGTGACAGGAGACAGAAAAAAATATTTAGTGGGTACTTTGCCTCACTTCTAAAAGCCTCTGTTGAATTTAGATCACTGTCTTCATTTGAGAGCACAGCGACAGTGATGTGGGCTAGCTACAGAAAGCTTTCTAAGCAACACTCATAGAATCATTTAAAGTTGGATCATCAGGTCCAACCACTAACCCAACCTACTGAGCCCCACCACTAAACCATGTCCCTTAATGCCATGTCCACATGCCTCTTAAAAACTTCCAGAAATGGTGGCTCCACCACTTCCCTAAGCAGCCAGTTCCAACATCTGCAGTGTTAGGGCCAAAAAAACCTACTCCTATGGAGAGGACAGACATATGATCCACTGAAGGGACTAGCATGTTTTCCATCTGGAGGATCCAATGTATCCAATTGGAGCATCCTATTAGGTCACTGTTAGAATTGAGATATTGGAGCAGAACCATCTTATGCTCTTCTATAAATCTCAGTTGAAATATCTGGAGAACTTACTGAACATTTTAGTACAAAGAGCTGTATCCGTATCAGAAATCTTTACCATACTGTTTCTTTGTTTATGTTTTAAATGATGCTACAGCACAGAAGTGTAGACTCTTTTTATGTATTAACTATACTTTAAAACTTGCAGTGATGGCTACAGATACAAAAATGGAAGACAATAAAATACAGCTTCTGCTATTTACAACTAAAATTGTCCTTTAACAAAGGAATCACGAGTGCAAAGAAGGAAAAAGATATTTTCATTCATTGCTGCTTCTTGTCAGTGTAATAATCTACATGTACACACATCCCCCCTCTGCTTCAACTTAAGAATTTGTAGCTTTCACCTCTTTCCCTGATAATTTTCTCATCCTTCTTACTCCTAAGTAGCTGCAGTAATTTCAAAATGGACAGACTGGTATAATTCCATAGCACTTGATGCAAACTTTTGTGAAGACAGCTTGCATATTTTAACTGTAATATCAATTTCAAAAACACCCATCCAAAAGCCTACCTTTTAATGTTTCACTTTCTCTGATAAGGAATGCTCCAGGGCCATTTCCAGGAGCCAGCAGTTGCCTTTCAGCATCTTTTCGAGTTATGTCTTTGAAAAACCACCTGAAAAATATTTCAGAAGGTTAGAACCTTTTCCCCCACCCACAAAAGATACAACACAAAGTTGAAAATGAAGTCTGGCAGCAGTTAGAAGAACTTACTCTTCTGTTTCCAAGGTGTTTACTTTTGCTACGTAATTGCTGGGAATGAAACCTTCTTTCTTTGTTGTGAGAGATTTAGCTTTCCACCAGTCTCCAAGCCTGAAAAACAGACACAACAGTAGTACACTCAGGAAAGGAAAGTCATAAGTGGTTGTTCAGGTTTTGTTGTGCCAAGAAGAGAAAAAACACCTTTTCTCTGCACTCAGGCTCCACTTAGAAGCCATTGGCACCATCAGAGCAAAGCTTGGTTATCTTTACAGCTGCCAAGCTCTACCCACATTCGTATTTTCACATATAAGGGATCTTCCTTAACATTTGTATACTTGCATTACAAGTGGCACATAAAAACTTATAAAGGAATAAAAACAAAACAAAACAAAAACGGTTTGAACTATCATACTCACTCCTCAATAACTTTCAATTTTTCTCCTTTTTTGAAGGACAAGTCATCTTCATGAAGGCCATCATAAGGATACAGAGCTACTACAATGACTCCATGCTCTTCTGGTTCTACAAATGTAGAAAGGCAAAGGAATATTCTTGTTATTTCACAATCTGATGAGGACATAGCACATAGGCAGCAAGATTCCTTTGGAAAACGTACCTTCATTGGCAAATATCTGTCCTGGTAGAAGGTGTGCATCTGTATTTGCCTACAATGAAATATGCCTTTAATTAAGCAGTTTTATATCTTTGAGACAACACTACATTACAGTTACATATTATTCAGTTGCTTTGTTATTATATGCCTTATGAAGCATTTTGCAATCATTTTCGACCTCTCATCAAAATCAAATTACAACAAAGAAAATACAGCAAAACCCAACAAAGATTTTGAACTGAGCAGCTCAGACAACAGGAAGCTGTTCAACAAGGGAAAGTTCACATTTTGCAACTTGTGCTGAACAGGCTTTACATAGCATAGTTTAACTGGATGGCTAGTATCACATTGCTGGTGTAAGGAACTGTCATGTTAAAGAACTACAAGCACAGCTAAAAGAAAAAAAAAAAAACTAATTAAAAACAATGCAAACAGTAATTGTGATTTGTGTACATTGATACAGAGCATACTGTGTCAGCTGGTGACAAACAATAGAAGGGTGCAATCAACATCCATAGAGAATGCGGTCCCTGAGTAAGGACAGTTAAGAAATACTCTTTCTTCAGAAGAAGAGGGAGTGGGGAAAAGAGGTATGAGTAAATCTGCAAAGTAGCAAGCCTATTTACTAACCAGTGGGATTTCCTTTCCCAGCACCCCTTCTTTTTTGCTAGATAGCACACAAGGAACTTCCTTTAGCTTGTTCCTCTTTCACCACAGTACTGCCTGCTTCAGAACTGCACCCATTCTGCTCCTCTCCTGCTCCCTTACATACACACCTTGTGTATGGTCAAATATTGGCCTTCAGTGAATAAAAGGAAGGTTGGCTACAACTGGTAACTCTAACCTCAACCGTTTTAAACAGAAGTAATCACCACCTGGATCCCACAGCTATTAATATCCAACACCGATGTCTCTAAAGTTACCTAGCGTTCTTCTACAGACATACCTACATTTAGGTCAAAAGTCTCCCAAGGAGAGACTAGGGAGTCTCCCAGCGTTTCATGCAGAAAACAATGTAAATTACAACACATAAAACAATGTAACTCATCAATCAATAACTTTTTTTTTTTTTTTAGTGCGTATTCTTTAAGTGGGAACTGCACAACACTAAAAGCCAAATCGCAGACTAATGATCAATTTGAATTTCTTCATGCATGTGTTTTGGACTGAAATTTAAGCTATGCCAGTCATGCTTTGATCTTGCTAGTGGAATTCTCCCCTGAGACTATCTACTTACTGGCCTTTGCTGTTTATTGGACGTTGGATCCCTCACATAAATAGTTCGTTCAGTTTTACGTACTGGTTGATTCTTCAAATCTAGCCCATCTCCATGCAGATTCTCTTTTCTTTTTGATTTTATACATCCCATATTTCCTGTTGGAATAAAAAAGGTATTAAACAAAACATTATGCCATAAAACAAGCAGTTTGCCATAGAGTCTTCTGGTTTATGTAGCAAACATTTACTTCCTTTTCATATACAGCAATTCACTGGAAGAACAACTTAATGTTAGGAACACATACTATAAGATTTTTTCTGATGCAAAGGAAAAAAAGAATAATTTATTGTCTCAATCCACAAATGAAGTAAATATTTCAAAATATTTATTTCCCATTCCAACGTTATCTGATTTATCATCTTTTCTCCTCAACCACCCCCTCTCCATCTTTCTGATTCTTCTGTGAGCTTCAAAATAAATAGAAGTGCAAATATAATTACTGTAGTGAAAACCCGTTTCGGTGTTTTAGAAAAGGCTGCTCTTAAGCTGTAAGAAATACTGCAGAGGCTCTACTGTAGCAGATCTTCAGGAAACAAAGAAATAATCCACTCTGAATGACGAGAACTGCAGCTGCAGTTAGCCATGCCTGTATCTCCCCACTTTATTTTGCATCTGCCAATCTAGCAGGGAGCTCGGCTGGATTCAAATCCCTGTCTCACACCAGGCTGATGATCTGTGCAGTCCCAGCTCCAGGGCAGATATGCTGCTACTGTGACCTTCAGCAATGAATCTCCTTGTCCAGATAAGCCTGTTACAACAGTTTAAAACAGACAGTAGGTGTATCAGTGATGACAAACCACCACACAAGTATTTCTTCTCCAACACAAATGAGAAGGATAATCCTTCCCACAGAATGTGCATCCATGCTCAGTCAGATGAGATACAGCTGCTAGCATCTGCATGGCTGGAACCTGACTGCTAATCCCATGATGTAATTACAGAGCACTTCAGCAAACACATATACAATGTTATCTCTATATTTCTTCCTCGGAGGATAGCAATTTTACTTACTCTTGAAAGAATCCACTAGGAAGGCTTTTCAAACCTCTTCTTCCTTCCTCTCTCCCTCCTTTCAGGTCAGTGCTCTAATGCTAGGTTCACGGTCATATTTTCTCTTGCAGGCACATATTCTCACTCCCCCTGCCCTAATTAATCTTTAAAGCCAGTTCTTTGAAGAACAGTGTAAAACAAAATAAGAGCTCAGCACACACGGAGGGCTCAAGTAAGCCAGCTGTGAACAAAACACAGCTGGAGAAGCTAGATCGTAGCGCCCTACGCTACATCTTTCACCTCCATCTCTCTGAAGAAGAGGTTCTCCATCTTGTACGCCAACATTTCCATGCCCCACTCCTACACAAAGGCATTTGGAGGCACCTTCAACCAGGATCTTCCCTTAGAGGCATACGTCTGTAATGCCTAATATTAGTTTGTGACAAAGTTCACTGGAAGATTTTCCAAACGTTCACCTCTGCGTGGGTGATGTGTTAGTTGCTTTGCAGGGGGGAAATAAAGTAGAGGATTTTTATTTATTTTTAATAATTGTGGATGTATGAATGATTCTTGTTCTATCGTAAAATGGTCTACGGGAAATTTTTGTACACCCGTAAGCAAGTTGCTGTTTGCAAGCTCACACTAGACTACTGGAAGCCCAGTGTTTAATTACTTGCTGTATCTGCAAGATCAGGTATTTAGCCACCTAAGCGCTAACCTTTTTGCTCTTGAGTATTTCTGCTTCTACAGAACAAACTGCTGAAGTTGAGGACATAAGATAATTTGATCCAAAATGCCTTTGTCTATTGCTGTAAGAAACCTGAAGATATCTTTGGAGACCGCAGTTCACCCCGTGCCAATGTAAAGTCACAGAAAAGCATTTTTACTAAGGTGGTTTTGTTGTTGGTGGTTTTTTTGGTTTTTTTTTTTTGGCAGCTTAAAGCACATGAGCAGTGAGCTTATTGTGAGGTCCTGCTGCAAGCTCAAGGTTAACATTTGTTCGTGACAATAACAATGGAACAGTAATATCAATATGCAGGTGCTATCTAATCCCACAGCAGTACACTCAATGTCATGTAAAATTGCACAAATACAGCGTGTGAAACAGTGCGTGTGATGGCACCAAAAAGATGATCCTGCACCACATCACAAAGAACTGTTTTTTTTTTCCCCTGAGAGACGAAAACTCCTAGCCCTCAGTGAACGTAGCTACATCTACATTAGGAGGAAGTTTTTCACACAAAGGATGGTGACACACTGGAACAGGTTGCCCAAGGAGGTTGTGGATGCCCCATCCCTGGAGGCATTCAGAGCCAGGCTGGATGTGGCTCTGGGCAGACTGGTCTGGTGGTTGGTGACCCTGCACATAGCAGGGGGGTTGAAATTGATGATCATTGTGGTCCTTTTCAACCCAGGCCATCCTATGATTCTATGAAAATTGGAGTTGGGCTCCAACTACCAAATAGCCCCAAGCTGGTACTGAAGACAGTATGTGCCCTCCACAGGGAATTACTGTCCCCTTCCCTCCAGTACTTTTGTTTTCAAAAGCCTCTGCTCAGTGACTGAGTGTAGTGTGTGCACTGAAGGGTATATATTCAGTGCATTTCACCTGCACTGTCAGTTTTATAACCCACAGTATTATATTGAAATCTAAAGTTCCTTCCCAGGGTTTTGAGAGTGCTATCAACATAAAAATTTGTAGAGCTAGTATAAATAGCAGGCACTGAAAGGAGAGCTTCAATCAAAGCACATTAAATAATGGATTTCAAAATATAAAATGCTATATAATCACCAGAGTTAATCACGAACTTTAAGTCCTAGCATATTACCCATTCAACAGAAGAGATTTGAAATGTAAGAAGTGTATGCAGAGTGCATCTTTTGTAGTCTACACAGTACTCATAAGGAAATTCTGAAGGGGGAAAGTTAATTCATGCATAAATAAAATATTTTACTTAGTATCAAGTGTTTATTTGCATAGCTCTCTCTTCCTGTATCACAATGAATATCAAGGAAGTGTTTTGAGAAGATATAAAAGGAAAGTAAAAATAAAAAACAACAATGCAGGAGCACAGTATAATTACATACGACACTACATTATTGTTCTTCAGAGATAAAAATAATATAGACACCAGAGGAAATACTGTCAGTCCCCACTCAGGCATTTTCCTCCCAATAGTTTTTCAGTACAGAAAGTATCACTATTCATCCAAGCTTTTGACGCACTTTGCTGTCCACACAGAGCCTCTACACTGTTGTTTTGATGTCTACGGAGACATTTGCTTTAAATTTTCCCACTGAATCCCTTGTTATCTTCTGTTTCATCTTGCTATGGCAGCACGTGGGTCTTAATTTCAAAGCAGATTTCCGGAGTATCAGAAAGCAGCACAATACTTGAAGGTCAAAAGCTGCTCTCTATCCTAGAAGTGCTGCTGCACTATTTGCCTTTTGCTGCTTCCAGCAGTCAGAGTCTGTGTGACCACTGCCTGTCCATCTGCCACCGTTAGCATCTGAGGTTTCATTTCCCCCCTCACTTAAAAGCTGATCTTACTTTTCTCTTTGCTCACGGTTGCAACTGTTGGCATCCTTGTGATTCACACAGGAGTTACAGTGCAAATTGGAAAACCCTTACCTGAAAAATCACCCTGATACATCTGGGCCTTTCTGGAGTTAAGTCATGTATTAATGTAAGGGATTCTCAAATCCTTGCAGATTTTTCAATTCTTTAGAGCAATTTTATTTTTATCTTTACCTATGATAATAATTTTTAGAAAGCACTAAAATAGAGACTTTGTTGGGTTGGTTTTTCTTCTTCCAATAATAAAGTATTTTTTTTAAAGAACTTATACTGTGATGGTGGGTATATGCACAATTCAATTTTATTCAATAAATATTTGTTTATCCAGCAATCAAGTATGTAAACATCAATTTTGTGGGTAGCTCCAGCTTTTAACACTTACATACATATGTGCTTAAACTGACACATAAAGAAAGTGACTTTGTATTCAATTATAAGGTTCATCAGTATTAAACTTTTCACACCAACTCCATTATGTATATATACAGAAGTGCATCTTTGCAGTACAAATAAGATAGAGATTGTCCACTGAGAAGAAATAAATGAAGACCCTCAAATTATTCTGATCTTTAACACAGCTTTCTGTCTTCAGAATTCCAAGTAAAAGAACTGGAAGCAATTATTTTCACTATACAAAAACATTTTTAAAGCTAGGACTTCAAAATAGCTTGGAGAGCAGAGAGGTAAATTCCTTTGTCTTTTAAACACGTCTTTCAAAAATGGAAAATTACATCCTTTCCTCCTTCTGTTTTTCCCTAGTCTAATTCCATTTCATCTTAGTGTAGCCGTTAATGCCTGCCTTCTTTTTCCTATTATTTCACAAATAGGAAGCCAGAAGGTAAGACTGTGATGCTCTCACCACATCCACTGAATAATAAAGCTTGTGAGACTGTTCAAGATCAAGGCAGAAGAGTCTTGAGGAAAGAAACAAACTCACTAAGGGTCTGAAAAACAAACAAACTTGGATCTAAAACCACTCAGGAAGAAGAATTGTGAGCCAGACCTATTCAAGGACACCAACACCTGCTTTCTTAATACCATCACCTAACTTTATTCTTCACTTCCTTCAACTGCTTCAGTTTCTCATTCTGGAAAATACAGAAATAAATGCAATCTTCAGGTTTAGGGAATTAAACTTTATCTTAAACTTCATTGCTGACTTGTTATTGCAAGCCTCGGCTGCCTGGTAACTTTCATTACATTAGACTATTCAGAGCAGAGAAATCTTGGGTCAGCTTTTATCTTTGGGCCTGTTTCACTTCCTACATCTTGTTTTTGCAGCAGAGACCAGCCAGGGGAACTTCAGCAGTTTGTTCTTCCCTCGCCTTTCCGCTGAAATGGTTATGTCGCTCCTCACCTCATGTATTTTAATATCTTTTAATTCAGTACTTTTCTACTGGACCACATTACATCATCTGCGTGTCTCTCAAGCTGAATCAGTCCCTTAGATGGCACAGAGACACGAATCATGATGTGCACCCTGAATGCTTATAAGAAAGAACAAGAATAGCCTCCATCCATCTACCC